CCAGCCTCTCAATGTTGCCTAGCATGCCGATGCCTCGCCGAGCAAGCCCCTCCCCGACACCCCTGACATCCATCGTTTGTGGCCAATATCCGACTCCTCTACATGCCATGGTCACTTGGGAGGGAGGGGACGGTGCTGCCCCATATCCCACACGTCCGCCGTCTACCGGATCGTGCCACCATCTTCTGCCGACGTCCCCAGAACATTGTGGCATAGTCGCCATTTAACAAGATGCCTCGGCCCCACCCCATCTTTCACGTGGCCGCTGAAGAGGCACCAGAGGCTCATCCCACTGTACGAGCACGTGTTGCATCTACTGGACTCGATCTTCATCTATCGGCCTCTTCTTGCAAGGTATACGACTGCTCCACAATTATCTTCTTTTAGTTGTTTGCATCTGCTTGCTGATAGAGATGATTATCTCTTTTTTCGGGAGAAGGGAGGGACTCTGCCATGCTGTGGTGTGATGTCAGTTTTGTGCAGCACTTCTCTCTCCATCAAGGTCAGCGGCGGCCTAGCCAGTCAATTTGATTGTCTGGGGTGGAGCCATGAAGGTGGGCAAGGTTGTCGGGTTTGCTCTTGGCGCCTGCTTGGGCCATGGGCATGACGAACGCGAGGAGTGGCGTACACGGCAGCAAGCCAACACAGGTCCACGATGGAGCAGTTCATCGGATGGTTGCCCCTTATAGCAAGCGGTAGCAGCTGTGGCACCAAGGTATGCAGCTCCTTTTATTCTTTTTTCAGATCCATTTTTTTGCGTATGGGCCTCTAAAAATTGCGGTTGAGCACATTGATCGGTGTGAAGTACTGAGCATACGTACAATTTCGTATGCTTCAAGGCAAAAGTCATGGTTTTTTTTGTTGTCAATTCTTGCAACATAAGTTTTTTTGGTGGTCTAGGTGGCGACATTTTACCAATTTAATTATATATAGATGTTGTATTGATTGAAATTTTCATATGTGTTCCATTCAGGTTATTTAGTAATATAGTTAATGTACCTTGCTTCCCAAACCAGAAGAGAAGTTACTGCTTCTAATTTCAGTATGTGAGAATTTAAGCAGGGGCTGCCAGTATATGGCTTGAAACTGATGGATTTGTTTCTTCATGCAAAACTGTTTGGTGATACTATATGATTCCTCATATGGTAATAGCAAGAAGGGAAGTGATGATGGTGAGTACAGTACATTTATCTCTACTCCTATAAAAATTTGAATTGGTGATGGTGTGCTTGTCATCTTTCATCAATAGCCGTCGGATCTAGATGTGACGCATACAAAGCAAACTGCTGCAGTTTTGCAAAAAGATGCCCACACTTGTTTCCACTTTTACAAACAACTCCTTGTCTCTCACAATTAGCCTTATCTCTTCCCCACCACGTCCACAAAGGCCATGGAACAATCTGGTGTGATGGCCGCTGCTGGCGCCGTCCACCACCAATCTGGGTGTTCCGTACAATGCACGGGCATTTTACTAGTCCTTGATTAACTCTGACAATTAGCAACTGTTAGAAACGATATTTATGCAGCCCGTGACTAGCAAGATTAACTTCTTTACCTGTTCAAATTTGATGTACGCAAAAAAATACCTGTTCAAATTTGTTAGATGATGTCTACATGTATTCAGGTTCGCCTTAACCATTTGCAGCGGGTCATCCAAGTGTGAGTGACAATAGGGCCAAGGAGGAGGATCTTGCTTCAAAGTCTAATTATTTTGGATAAGTGTTGATGATGGAACTGGGATGTTTTCATCTTCTATGTTAGCAGGTTAGAAACTACCTTTTCATAGCAGCCCCAAAAGGTCAATTTATTGTAGTTTTTGCACCTCAAAAGTGCTCAACTATGTAAACCGTGTTCAGGTTGTAAATTTGATACGTTTTGCTACCCATCTGCAAAAAACATGGCATAACCGAGTTTACAGGTCAATTTATTGTAGAGTAAATTTGATACGTTTTGCTACCTATCTATAGATACCTTCTTTTCAGGTTGTAATATACACCATATTTTGATCCATTTCAACAAGGCATATGCACCATGGTGCTTCATTTCAGAAAAGTTCTTCTTAAGAAGCAAAGGGAATGATCAGAGCTCTTATGCGTTTTGCCCTTTAGATATCATGCAGGCTAATGAATTCTCCAGAGAAGCAAGTGATTGTTTCTGGAAGCTATATATGTTAAAATTGTATGTCTGGTCAGCTAGAGTGTTTTTCAATATATCAGTATTATGAAAACCAGACTGATAGTTTAGCTTAATATATCAGCTGTTTTCACTCCTGCCATTGGGTTCTCCGTGCACATCCCCAGCATTCTTTTTCTTAAAATCATCTCATTTTTCCACTATCTTCTATATATTAACTTACCCTTTTTGCAAACCAGCCGGTACAAATTAATACTAATTGTGCTTCATTTATTTTCATCAGGTTAAATGTGTCAAATATTGCTCCCAATATTCAGAAAGATACACTTCTGTTATTGATATTTCCAGTTCTATATAGGAGCATTTCTTAAGTAGGTTTTCTGTATCTTTTGTTCTTGATGTTCCAGTTCTATATAGGAGTGTTTCTTAAGTCGGGTTTCCTCACTACATGTGTTGTACAATGCAAATCTCTTTCAAGTCCATTTGATAGTTCTTTCCGTTGGTCAAGTTTGAATAAACATATGGCTGCTATTGGGGATTGATGGACGAAACAATACTGGAGGTGACCAATTAATTGCGTAGGTTTGTGGTTTGCCCTAAAAGTTTGGATGGTTGTTTTAGATTAATAGGTTGAGAGTATCAACGAGTAATATAGCCATTGTCACCATGAAAAAGCGTCATAGTTGTACGTACAGTAAAAAATCAGTTCGGCATGGATTTTGAAATGATTTCTTTAGTTGGAAAATATTATTGACTTAATTTCTGCTTGATTCAAATAGTATTTCCAACATTGTGATTTTATGGAAATGTGTCATTGTCAAGGCACCACGGTAATTGGAACGGCTGAACTCAAATCCATTCTTTGGGGGAGATAAGTCCACATAGATCTTCATTTCAGGGTTATAAGCACAAATCATGGTCATACTTCAAGTCCTGCTTCTGCATAAACCTCTGGAGAATGCTTTTGCTCTGGGTTCACAAAGCCTGGCGGGAAAACGCACAGCTATATATTTGGCGTGAGACATTATGTACTTCTTTCTTTTTAAAATACATCGATTGTGCAACATAATAAACCTAAGTTCTTCAATCTGCCTTGGCACACTATTTATCTTATTATAGCTCTATAATAATCATGTACGCACATCTTTTACCGTAAATTGTCGTGGACCTGAAAAGTACCTGCAACTCAGGAGAACCAATGCAATATGTTGCAACCTTTTTATTATTATAGCAACAACTTGCGGGCCTGCTAGTACTCCACTAAGCTTTACTCCTTTATTATTTTGGGATCGGCTAGAGATGCTCTAGGGTGCACATTGGTGTCGTAATGAAGATGAAAATGTTAGATTATGATTTTATTATTTTTCAATATATTTATATCTCTTAGCGACGGCATGGGTATCACATACTAGTAGGCAATGTAAAAAAGAAAAAGGTACTCCCAAAGTCACCGGGAGGTGAGGTCCAACAAAACCAGTCCAGCTAGAAAGAAAAAGAAGGAAAACGAAAGCACGTTCCCAGACTTCGGATCCCCAATCCCGGAAAATCCTAGCCCCCAAATCGACTGAGTGCCGACCATGACTCCGACCCATCCCCATCCCCATCCCCAGCCACCGGCGGCCCGCAATGGTGTGATCTGAGGCTCTTGGCTCCTGCTGCTTCCATGGAGCGCGCACCGGAGCATCGCCTGCAAAAGCTCTCCGTCGCCGCCGGCGTCGGCGGTGAAGGCGGCGAGGACCGCCTCAGCGCGCTGCCGGACGACGTCCTCATCCACATCCTCCTCAAGCTCCGCGACGCCGCCCTCGCCGCTCGGACCAGCGTCCTCGCCCGCCGCTGGCGCCGCGTCTGGGCTCTCCTCCCGGAGCTCCATTTTCCCGTCGGCACCGACCCCGACCGGACACCGCCCACGATGCGCCGGCCCTCCGGCACCTCTTCGTCGCCGCCGTTGAGGCCACCCCGGATTCCGCTGCGGCATGGCTCCCCATCGCCGCGCGCCGCCTCTCTGGTGTCCTGCATTTCAACAACAGTAGGGACATGAATGAGGCCTCCGCCGGGGAAAGAGGTGCCTTGGAGTTGCCTTGCTTCGAGAAAGCAACCAAGGTCGTGCTCGATCTACATTACATTGCCCTCACCCTGCCGCCTTCCGGCGAATTTACCGGGCTCACCGATCTGGAGCTGGTTTGCATACAGCTGCACGGTCCTTGTCTCTTCCCCACGGTGTCCATCTCTGCTTCGCCTTTCCGTTTACGGTGTCATGGGTCTGGACAAGCTCACAATCCAGTCGGAATCTCTCCTACAATTGGAACTAAATGGTCTGTGCACCTTGCAGCAGCTCAATGTTGTTGCCTTGTCTCTGCAAAAACTAAGAGTGCACCGTTGCTTCACCGATGCTCCGGATCAAAGCCAACCAGTTGCTGACATCTCAGCCCCTCAGCTGGCGGCACTTGATTGGACCAGTGCTTATGATCCTAGCTCCGTTCTGTTTGGCGAGATGCCACATCTCCAACAACTCATCACCGGTCCGATTATTGTATATGGAGGAGATATGTTTTCTGCAAGCAATCGTCACAGCTTGATGCTTCCACATCGTTTTCACCACAACAGCAAACTTATTCTCATCCTTCTCTATCTACCGGTATGTGATTGTGAGTCAATCGGGCCAAACTCTGACTGAGAGTTAAACGTCAGGAATATGTCATTTGGAATACTTTACTTGTGAAACCAATACAAAAATTGAAAATTTACAACTATGCATGCACACAAGTGACTTGTTTAATTATTGTGTGCTAGTCACTTTGTAGAAATATGAGATTTTTGTGTCCTTAATTGTCCAACTATTATATTGCCTGCTGCATGACTTCCTATATATGAACCTACAGGTCTGTGGGGACGAACGATTCTTGATGGAAGAGATGACAGAGTTACCTAACATTACCAACTTGGGACTGATCGTATTGGCCTGTGGACATTCCTTTGGAGCCGGCTCATTCCATGTTCTCAAGATGTCTAGTGGTATAACAGAGCTGGCACTTCAACTTGACACTCGGAGCGACTGTAAGGTAACACTATACTTAGTTTGTGGCGAATCCTATTGCTTACTAGCATGTTGACCTACTCTTGCTGTTGGTTCGGGTTAGATACTGATGTGTTGCTTATTAAACTTGACGAAGTAATATACTACTCCCTTTGATCCATATGAGTTGTCGCTGAAACGGATGTATCTAGACATATTTTAGCGCTAGATAACATCCATTTGAGCGACAACTAATTTGGATCGGAGGGAGTACTTGGGTTCGTCACTTTGTAGTAGCTAGGTTTTATTTCAAAAGATTACATGTCTTTTGAAAATGTCAAAGCAAATTGATGGGGTCATATTTCCACTTTTCCAACATAAAATTGGAACCCTCATTTGATCTTCTTCAGCAAATACAAATACTTCTTTTATTTTTTCATGGGTTGATGATAGCATGATACATCAGCATTGGTATAGGGTTGATAATCTGTTGGCTGTACTTTTTTCTATATGCATACAACAATTATACTTTCAACAATATTTTGGTTCCAGATTAATTTGTCTGTGTTATTCTTCTGTAAATCTGTTGTTGGCAACTTGACATATCTAAGATTATCCATGCAGTCTAATAATTTCTAGTTTCATGTCTCTTATCTCAAACCATATGATTTGATATTAGTACTTATTAGAGCTGATATATATGCATCTTGTTTCAGGCATTTGCTGCGTGCCAATCAGGTTGCATTTATGATGAGCCATCAAACTGGGAAACCGAGGACCTCGTGCTACCTTGCCTCAAAGTTTTGGCAATCAATGACCTGAGAGGAACTGAACGTGAACTCGCTCTTGTGAAAAGGCTATTCAAGTGGGCAACAATGCTAGAAAGGGTGGCAATAATTTTCCATGACTCGGTCGATGAAAGCAACTGTGAAGAGTTGCGCCGGTTGTTACTAAGCTTCTCTAGGCCAGCAATATGCATGAAATTCTCGCATGGAGAATGTTTGTCATTTGACTAGGGCGCCAACTTTGCTGATTTGCTGTGGTTGTCAGATCAGTGTGCCTACTTCTGCGAGACTGAACTTTGGTAGCTTGTTTAAGTCCAGCAACTTGTTTCCAGTTTTTCTGAGACTGAACTCCTGTAACATGTTTAATTCTAGAACCTGTTTGGTCTCTGTGAGACTCAGCATGTTTAATTGGAACCTTGTTTCCAGTCTCATCCAGCTCGGTCGTTTTAGTTTTCCATTCAGTTCTTCCCTCTGTGCGTGGGCGGGTGTTCGCGTGAGAAAGACAAAAATGGGAAGCAAGCCTTGTGTTTTCTTTGTTTTTGCAGGAAACAAGTCGCTACTGTTTTGTCACACACAGACCGGAATCAAGTAGTTGAGTCTCGTGATGTAAAAAACAAAAAACAAAAAAAAACACTAGTTGAGTCTCGTGTAAACTAAAAGAAAGTACAAATTAAAATCGATTTCAGCCTCACAAGTATTAGAAATAAGTTATGATATGTTGTTTTTCTCTCCCCACTCGCAGGGCGACTAGGGAAACCCTTCCTCCCCTCAATCTCCACCCATGAGCCCGTGGATTTGCCTCCCTCCGCCCACCGCTTCGGCGGCCGGTGGTGGGGCGGTGATTTCTGATGCCTCGGCTTTGGTTAGTAGATAAGTAGAATTTTAGTCATTGCAGAGACGGCGGTCAGACGGATGATGGCGTTTTGGGCTCCATTCCTACACAAGTTCTTAAAAGGGACAGCAAAGTGCTTAAGAGCATCTCCAACACTTCACCCAAAACACTCCCCCAGTAATAACCACTTATTGGATGGTAAAAAAATTAACCACTTATTGGGGCTCGTGAATAACACTTGTCTGGTTATTAGGGATGGATGCTCCAGTAGTTCCCCAATAATAAATCTCAACATAAAGATGACCCACTTGTCAATTGGTAAGTGATGGCATGGCGGTGCTCAGGCGGATCTTCAGACGGTCTAACGAAACTTCGGCGCCGGCGGCAATGCTCCGGCGGGGGTCCAGTAATGGCGGCGATCTGACAGTGGTCTTGCTGCAGCCCGGTGTCCATTTATGGTGGAGCAATGACGTGGCAGCATTTGGGATCATATTAGGAGAGGGCCAACTCCCCCTCATTTAAAGAAAGATGGACAGTTTTATTGGTGATCACCAATAATAAATTGAAGGAAAAATGGGCAGTGTTTTTTTGTGATCACCAATAATTTATTAGGGAAAGAGGAGCTGTTGGAAGTATTTTACTTCGCTCAACTTTCCAATACCAAGAAATTATTGGGGAAAAGCGATCTGTCGGAGATGCTCTATGCAATTAATTAATTGACTTAATCACTACATTTCAGGCTATTCGGGGAGTATCACATACTAGTATCATGCATATGACACTAGTGTATGATATACTATTATAATGCATATGATACTAGTGTATGATACTCCCTCCGTTCCAAAATTCGTGTCTTAGATTTGCCTAGATATTGATGTATCTAATACTAGAACGTGACTTGATACATCCGTATTTAAACAAATTTAAGACAAGAATTTTGGGACGGAGGGAGTACTACCTTTCATACTGCATAATATCGTAAAGTAGTAGTATCATAAATTATCTTATTGGGCTATTTGCATTTTTGTCCCCAACCCGAACCACCTACTCAGTACCCCTAATTTTGAAGCATGCTCAAATTTTCCCCTCTGCCGTTAAATGACCTTACAGAAATGCCCTTCCGTTCCGTGTCCGTTTGGTCAAAGGGGTTTGACCGTCTACCTGACGTTTTTTTTGGACAATTTGCCCCTGCCTCCATATGTCACTTACAAGTGGGACCCAATCAGAAAAAATAAAAAGGAAAAACTCTTTCTTTCACCCCTCACTCTCTCACTTACATGTGGAACCCACAGAAAAAATAAGAACAAAACTCTATCCACCCTCTCTCTCACTTACACGTGGGATCCCACATGTAAGTGTCTAGTTATTTTTCTTAATTAATTTAGCAATTTTGTTAATTGGTAGGGCCGCCGATTAGTCTCAATAATTAGCATAATATTTAACACTAGGTAGGATTGGTGCTAATCTAACTAATGGGCCCCACATGTCATAGGCAGCCCATCAGTATTAGTAAAAATATCATTTGAAAATGTTAAGTGTATATAGAAAAAAAATGTTGACCAAGTCTTCAAAAAATGTAAATATTGCATTAGAAAAAGAACTTAATCAAACATTTGAAAAATGTTAAATGTGTATAGAAAAATGTTGCCATGTGTTAAAAAATTGCTAATCTTCTATTTGAAAAATGTTAATCAAGCATTTGACCATGTATTAAAAAAATGGTATACTCATATTTGAAAATTGGTAAACGTGTATGTGAAAAAAATCTTCATATGAAAAATGTAGAATGAAAACCAAAAGAAAGAAATCCAAAAAAGAAACCAAAGGAAAAAAGAAAACAAGAAATAAAAGCAAAGAAACGAACACAAAAAGAATAGAAAAAGATGAATACCGAGAAAGAAACAAAGAAAAACAAAAACTCGCCGGAAACTAAGAAGTAGACAAAAAACCAAAGAAAAAAGGAGGAAAATTTTGAAAAAGAAGGAAAATGGATAACAACCATGAAAGAAACAAAGAGAAACCAAAAGAAAAACAAAAAAAGCAGGGTATAACGACAAAAAAAATCCGAAGAAGAAAGAAGAAAATCAAACAAATCACAAAAAATAAAAACAACTCCGGTTATTTCATCCTAAAGTAGCATGTGCCTGATTTAGTTCCACGACCCCAATAGTTGCGCAATGGCTAGTAGCACCCTCAACAACTGAGGCGACCTGAGATCATATCCTCACGTGTCCTATTTTTTTTTTCTTCCTTTTTCTCATGTTTTACTACTGCTACTGGACCCGCCCATTACTGTATCATCTTTATGTGAGAGATCCTTCCATCTCTCACATAAAGCGAGATACAGTCGCCGCGCCGTACCGCACGCACGAGAGCTCCTGTTCGGCGCCTGCTGTGCTCGAACTGTTTCCTGGCGCACACTGCCGCACCCTGTTGGGTCGGCCCACGAAGGCTCGCACCAAACTTTAACGTCAAAAAACCGCAAAAAGGTGTGTCCTCCTGGTTTCGAAATCGGGTGGTTGCATCATCGGCCGACCTTAACTAACCACCACAGCAACCATTCATTTGTGACTTGTAGTAGCGCCAATTGTACAAGAACAAGTGCGGCCGCGTCTATTATTTAGCTTAGATTTCTGGATTATTTTCAGAAAGTCGTGAATATGAAAAAGTTCAACATTCTTTAAGAAAAGCTCACAAAATTCTAAAAAGTTCATCGATTTTGCAGAAAGTTAATGAACTTTTTTGAAAAAGTTCATCAATTTTGAAAATAGTTCATCTAGTTCTAGAAAAGTTCATCGATTTTGAAAATAGTTCAAAAATTTGAGGAAAAGTTCATGATTTTTTTAAAAGGTTCATCGAATTTCAAAAAAGGTTCGTTGAAATTGAAAAAAGTTCATCGAATGTGAAAAAAGTTCACGGAAATTGAAAAAAGTTCATCAGTTTTAAGAAACTTTTCATCGATTTTGGAACAAAAATTACAAATTTTGAAAAAGTTCATCGACCCAGGAAGAAGAAGAAAAGAAAAGAAAGAGAAAAAAGGAAAAAGGAAAAGGAAAAATGAAATGTCGAAAGAAGATAAGAGGTACCTAACCACGAAAAGTTTGGTGGCGTGGTGGTTGACTGGGTGTACTCTTAGCCGGGATGTCGCAGGTTCGATTCGCCACAACCTCGCATTTTTTGCGTTTTGAAAAACGGATAAGAGAAAGATAGATGGGCCGTCCCAACGAGGCGGAGGGGTATGCGCATGTTTGGGAAAACACCTTGCCCGCACGCACAGCCTCGCTCTTGTACATGGTTCAGGTAGCTACGTTGTTGGGCCTTCTTTTATGGGTCATGGGTGACGTTTCGCGATTGGCCTACACGAAAAATATAAGCCGCTCGTTTTGATTAGTACCACCTTGCTTCAATTAAGTGATTCCCACCATTATAAATAAGTTCACAAATTTTCTTAAATATCAGCTAGAACGTCAGGAATAAATAAACAGATTGTTAGGATGGACCGGCCCAACGAGGCGGAGGGGTATGCGCCCGTTTGGGAAAACACCTTGCCCGCACACACAGCCTCGCTCTTGTACATGGTCCAGGTAGCTACGTTGTTGGCTTTCTTTTATGGGCCATGGGTGACGTTTCGCGATTGGCCTACACGAAAAATAAAAGCCGCTCGTTTTGATTAGTACCACCTTGCTTCCATAAAGTGATTCCCACCGGTAGAAATAAGTTCACAAATTTCCTTAAATATCAACCAGAACGTCAGGAATAAATAAACAAATTGTTAGGATGATCAAGAGCAGCACCATTGTGAAATTCATGTCCAAGGAAAGGAAGCGGGCTTGCACGCTCATGGCAGTTAAAACACCGAGGCCGGGCGTGAGTGATTGCGGCCGAACACGCAACTCGAGCGACGGGTCCTTGAAGGCTTCGGGTGAAGAAAACAGAGATGGGATGATGGGGATAAGAACGAAGCGCCAGGGAAAAAGGGGAATGGCGTTATGTGCACACGTCAATGCTGTACGCGTCGGCCACTCCAGCCGAACATTTTTCTTTTCATTCGCCGAACACCTGTGATGTGTGCGTGCGGTTTTGGCATCTCCAAAGCGTGCGTGCTTTTACAAAGAAAAGAGCCTACCATCTAGACCGAATGCTTGTTTTCTAAGTATGTCCACGCTTTACAAAAAATACTGAAAATTCCCCAAACATTCCCATTTCAAAAAATCCATTTAAAATTATTCACAAATTTAAAAATAATTAACGCGGCGGCAGGACCGTGTCATACCTGGGCCGGCCCACTACGAGCTAAGCTGCTGGCGTTGGCGTGCGGCTAGCTTCGGGCGACGCATAGCCGCGCGCGAAGGTCTGCCAAAAAAAAAAGCAGCTCGAAGTGCCATAGGTAGTGAAAAGT